GGGGGGAGGGGGGGTTCCCGGTATGACTATGGCTTTGATAGTTAAATTCTGATAAGACACCCTTACCTTTCAGGGATGTTATATAAAATAACAAAGGTGAAATAAACATCAATTACAGTGTTCTGAGCTCAGCGGGCCTAGACTGGGATTAGACTTAAGATTGTTATACTGTCTATCTAAATGACTTTGCTACCTGGTCAGCGGGCCTATACTGAGATTAGACTTTAGATTGTTATACTGTCTATCTAATTGACTGGGTTACCTGGTTAGCGGGCCTAGACTGAGATTAGACTTTAGATTGTTATACTGTCTATCTAAATGACTGAGATACCTAGTCAGCGGGCCTAGACTGGGATTAGACTTTAGATTGTTATACGGTCTATCTAACCGACTGGGCTACCTGGTCAGCGGGCCTAGACTGGGATTAGACTTTAGATTGTTATACGGTCTATCTAACCGCCTGGGCTACCTGGTCAGCGGGCCTAGGCTGGGATTAGACTTTAGATTGTTTTACTGTCTATCTAAATGACTGGGCTGCCTGGTCAACGGGCCTAGACTGGGATTAGACTTAAGATTGTTATACTGTCTATCTAATTGACTGGGTTACCTGGTTAGCGGGCCTAGACTGAGATTAGACTTTAGATTGTTATACTGTCTATCTAAATGACTGGGCTACCTTGTCAGCGGGCCTAGACTGGGATTAGCCTTTAGATTGTTATACGGTCTATCTAACCGCCTGGGCTACCTGGTCAGCGGGCCTAGACTGCGATTAGACTTTAGATTGTTATACTGTCTATCTAAATGACTGGGCTACCTTGTCAGCGGTCCTAGACTGGGATTAGACTTTAGATTGTTATACGGTCTATTTAACGGACTGGGTTACCTGGTTAGCGGGCCAAGACTGGGATTAGACTTAAGATTTTTTAAACTGTCTATCTAACCGACTGGGCTACCTATTCAGCGGGCCTAGACTGGGATTAGACTTTAGATTGTTATACTGTCTATCTAAATGACTGGGCTACCTGGGCAGCGGGCCTAGACTGGGATTAGACTTTAGATTGTTATACTGTCTATCTAAATGACTGGGCTGCCCGGTTTAGCGGGCCTAGACAGGGATTAGACTTTAGATTGTTATACTGTCTATCTAAATGACTGGGCTGCCTGGTCAGCGGGCCTAGACAGGGATTAGACTTTAGATTGTTATACTGTCTATCTAAATGACTGGGCTACCTTGTCAGCGGTCCTATACTGGGATTAGACTTTAGATTGTTATACGGTCTATTTAACGGACTGGGTTACCTGGTTAGCGGGCCAATACTGGGATTAGACTTAAGATTTTTTAAACTGTCTATCTAGCCGACTGGGCTACCTATTCAGCGGGCCTAGACTGGGGTTAGACTTTAGATTGTTATACGGTCTATTTAACCGACTGGGTTACCTGGTTAGCGGGCCTAGACTGGGATTAGAATTTAGATTGTTATACTGTCTATCTAAATGACTGGGCTACCTTGTCAGCGGTCCTATACTGGGATTAGACTTTAGATTGTTATACTGTCTATCTAAATGACTGGGCTACCTTGTCAGCGGTACTAGACTGGGATTAGACTTTAGATTGTTATACGGTCTATTTAACCGACTGGGTTACCTGGTTAGCGGGCCTAGACTGGGATTAGACTTTTAGATTGTTATACTGTCTATCTAAATGACTGGGCTGCCTGGTCAGCGGGCCTAGACTGGGATTAGACTTTTAGATTGTTATACTGTCTATCTAAATGACTGGGCTGCCTGGTTAAGCGGGCCTAGACAGGGATTAGACTTTAGATTGTTATACTGTCTATCTAAATGACTGGGCTACCTGGTCAGCGGGCCTAGACTGGGATTAGCCTTTAGATTGTTGTACTGTCTATTTAACCGACTGGGTTACCTGGTCAGCGGGCCTAGACTGGGATTAGACTTTTAGATTGTTATACTGTCTATCTAAATGACTGGGCTACCTTGTCAGCGGTCCTATACTGGGATTAGACTTTAGATTGTTATACGGTCTATTTAACTGACTGGGTTACCTGGTTAGCGGGCCAAGACTGGGATTAGACGTAAGATTTTTTAAACTGTCTATCTAACCGACTGGGCTACCTATTCAGCGGGCCTAGACTGGGGTTAGACTTTAGATTGTTATACGGTCTATTTAACCGACTGGGTTACCTGGTTAGCGGGCCTAGACTGGGATTAGAATTTAGATTGTTATACTGTCTATCTAAATGACTGGGCTACCTTGTCAGCGGTACTAGACTGGGATTAGACTTTAGATTGTTATACGGTCTATTTAAACGACTGGGCTACCTGGTTAGCGGGCCTAGACTGGGATTCGCCTTTAGATTGTTATACTGTCTATCTAAATGACTGGGCTGCCTGGTTTAGCGGGCCTAGACAGGGATTAGACTTTAGATTGTTATACTGTCTATCTAAATGACTGGGCTATACCTGGTAGACGGAAGTGTCCTGGACCAATTGTGCTACAGTTATATCCAAAACGAAATTAAAGGATGGTTAATGTATATACGAAAAACCAAAAACCCACTGGGACTGGGATCCTTATAACATCTAGTACGATGACACATTGTCCTATTACGTAGTTTGCCAAGTCGTCTATGTCGTTGATAAATATACATTAAATATCACGTATTTGTATTTTGTGTGTAAAAGTTATGAAGTGCTATTATGTCGCTATTAGTCATACGTCAGTCAAGGACCACTGTTGTTGTAATCTACAAATCATCATTATTTCTCATCTTAGATTGCATCACATTTCACAATTATGTAATATTTATATACGATTGTTGTCTACTGCTCGTAAATTATATTATCAGGGAGTGACTTGATATTGTTAATACGAAACGTTACTAAAACACAAATAAAGTATCAGTCGATATGTCTATCATGTGTCCAATCATCTGTGATTACAGTAGTCATGTGACCTTATACATGTAGATCATGCTGCGTGTTTTTTTCAAACATTGGATATTAAGTACTGCTGTGTTTTACCAGTAGTAAACGTATGTTAACACTCCCCACATTACTTTCGTTTAAATACCTATAAACACGATGACAATGTTAAACCAATTATGTTGAATTGAAATAGATTTATATATAGCAAAGCATCTAATTGTTTTTTTTTATCGAAATAAAACGAACGCTTTTAAAGTTTGTTTTTTTAAACATTACAAAAATCTTTTAATAGCAAGATCAAAAAATGTCTGCTACGAAATGACACACACATGCATTCACTGAATACATATCTACCAGATATTGATAATTACAAGGGAGTAACTATTTGCAATAAAACTTATTTTATTTGTTCTCTGAAATGTTCAGATTGCCTACTTCCTGAAAGTAGGCAATCAGAACATATAAGAAAAGAAATAAAATAACATTTTATTGTAAAAAGGCATATTCATACTTCCAGTAATATAAAATTTGAATTATAAAAAAATTGAAATTGTGTAAGTCACGTTTTTTCGCACGTACTGTTTTTGTGCGAATAAAGAAATTAGTCTTTCGCGAAAATGAAGTGATTTACAGTATATTATACCTGTCCTTCTGCTAGTGTGTAATAAATACTAATATATGCTTATAGAGAAGTTAGCTTACTAGAATAAGGCTTGCCTTCGTAATACTGTTAGCTTACTTACATTAGGGTCCGAAATGACAGATTTTTCCACTTTAGGTATTTTATGATGGAACTCAACCTTCAATAATTTTGCGAGTAAAAAATATTTGGACTTACTACTGCAGCGAAAGGATAAAATGGGGAAAAATATATAGTACTACAGCAAATAAACTATTTTGTAGAGCAATTGCATATATTTTGATTTATTACGTTTGATCACGGACTTAGATAACATTATTCTAATTCCGTGGTTTGATGCAGTCTTTGCTTTTTTCGTTTACTTAATATTTCACTTGTACTCGATAAAAGATAAGAACTAGCTTCTCCCTCGTCAGACCATAACGATAATAATACACACCCCAAACTCACACCGAGGCACACTTCCGGTTTATGTTGGAAAGAATGATCAAGAATATGTGAATTATGTCAATTCGATACGGACACATCTATCATAAAGACTTATTTTCAGAGTCGATATAGCTACCAGATACAGTTTTATAAGTCTTGATGTGATTGTCGACGTCAGGTGCAGCTGAAGAATAACAGTATTGAAGAAGATCCTCATCCTGTCAAATGACATTTGAGGCCTACGAGTTGACGTCCCCAAAATGAACACTTTCTCTCCTGATGTTTCGATACATAACTGATTATAACAGATACATACACTGAGTCAACTTATATTTTTAAAATGAAATAATTGTTTTCAGAGAATTTGGACAACCTAGCTACTGTTGACATTTGACTCGATCGAGAATGGCGGAGGAGGATAGGTAATCATGACGAAATGGTTGTCGGCAGGCTCGGCAGGGTCATACAATTTACTGCCATATTAATCATCTCCGTGTATTATAAAATTTAACATTTGTCATTTCAGCTAACTTGTTGATAATGATGAAAGCATATGATACAGGAGACACGATGATTAAGTTGTATAGAAGTTCTGGATTTTGTACTTTCACTTTCAAATTATTAATGTGTGAGTCATGATCAAATGGTTTCTTTTCCAAGTAAGGGTCAACAAACCCCCTTAAATATTGCATGGTTACTATCAATTCTTATCCCATGAAAAGTCATATTAAAAGACTTTTTAACAGGTTGGGCACAACGGCACATATGGGTAATACCCCCTGCATTTGGGGAACAGTTACCCATTTGAGTAACAATTTCATTACTGAAATGGGCCGGGGAATAAGTTAAATAAAAACACTCAAAATTCTTTTACACATAATAAACAAAAAGGGCATCATTCTTTAAACATAATCAAATAAAAGGTACAATTGTGTATAAAAATATGTTTATTCAGTTGTCTCAATTTTTGTGAACATGACAAATTGTATCACCTCCATTGCACTGAATGGTCCCATATCTACACACTGAAGTCAATGCAGGACAAAGTCAGTGATTTCACAAAAAGTTAGACATCAGAATTGATAAATTTTTGTGCACAGAGGTACTTCATTTTGTTATTATTGGATTCAGTTGAAAGAAAAACACCTTTTTTTGCTCCAGGTGTTTAAAAGAACTTTGTGTGTTTTTATTTCACTTTATTCCCAATTTCACTAATAAAATTGTTTTTGAAATGAGTAACTGTTACCCAAATGCAGGATTATTACCCATATGCGCCGTTGTGCCCAACCTGATTAAAGATTGGAAGTTCAGGTATATGATTTGGATATATATGGAACTTTAACTTAAGTAAGGCCAAATAAAAATAATTATATATGTGTGTTTCCTGTTTCGGCTCCAAAAAAATAGGGTAGGTAGGTAGGAAAAACACTTTTTTTTTTGTTTTTTGATGAAGAAAATCTCCTGATTACATCCGTGAATGTTAAAAATATGTGTTTTCCCTACTGCTTGACACTTGTTTTTAGTAATCCAAAATCCACTGATGGTCACCAGTGTAACATAATAAAAAACTAATAAAATGTATTAGGGTTGGCATGAAAAAATAGGATCGGTCAGGAAACAGGAAACACAGGTATATTTGTATTTGGCCTAATCAAAATGATATGTAGCAAATTAAGTTTTATCAATGTTTTGGAACTGGACTGGGCAATTGATGGCAGCCAGGAAGTTCCATTGGTTAGAGTGTACGGTCCACCTAGAGGTTGTAGGTCCCGGATTTACTCTCTCCTGTTACAGTGGGACGTATAACTAGCCCTTGGGTGCAGGGTGTATGCTTGGTAAGGGGATACCTGAACCTGGGTTGTAAATAGTGTTGTCTTTTGGAGGAGAAGACTAAAAACAGGAGAGAGGAGAATGTAGTGGAACAGGACTGGGTTGTTAGCCGGTCAAAATTATGTATGGTTTTATTGGTGTAATTGAAATGGACTGGGTCAGTCGCTTGCAACCAGGAAGCTCAATTGGTTAGAAGTCCAAGGTTCGAATCCCAGTCAGACCTTGCATTTTTCATCTCCAGTTCACAATATATCTTTTTTTAGGTTCATATCACATTTTTCATCATAAGACTGAAGTTCTGAGGTTGTAGGTTTAACTCCTGGTCTGGCCATGCATTTTTCCTCCTGATACATCTACAATAAGTCATTAAGGCTGATGCCTTCACAAACATAGTTAATAGTTTAATCAAACGGAATGCTACAATATGACACACTGTCATAAATAAATTTTATATACTTGCGTCATATATAGCCTCAGATCAAGGTGGTTGTGGCCATGTGAACCAACAAAAGTCAAATCAATGGATATCAATTATATTTGATCAAAAGCATTCCTTGGAGGCAGGGATTTAAAATTGTACAAATGGTGTGGCTGACCCCCCAGGGGGCTGAGGGGCAGGGCCAAAAAGGGTATTTGGCTATACTGCTTTAAGCGACTTTTTCTATGGAACTAAGAACAGGATATCAACCATATTTGACTGGAAGCATCCCTAGGCGGTAGTGATTAAAAATTGTACAAATGGTGGGGTTGACTCCCCAGGGGGCTAAGGGGCGGGGCCAAAAGGGGGCAATTTGGCTATATTGCTACAAACGACTTCTGTAGAACTATGCAATGGATATTGATCAAATTTGGTTGGAAGTATTCATGGGAGGCAGGGATTTAAAATTGTACAAATGGTGTGGCTGACCCCCCAGGGGGCTGAGGGGCAGGGCCAAAAAGGGTATTTGGCTATACTGCTTTAAGCGACTTTTTCTATGGAACTAAGAACAGGATATCAACCATATTTGACTGGAAGCATCTCTAGGTGGTAGTGATTAAAAATTGTACAAATGGTGAGGCTGATTCCCCAGGGGGCTACTGGGCGGGGCCAAAAGGGGGTAATTTGGCTATATTGCTACAAACGTCGTCTGTAGAACTATGCAATGGATATTGATCATATTTGGTTGGAAGTATTCATGGGAGGCAGGGATTCAAAATTGTACAAATGGTGGGGCTGACCCCCGGGCTAAGGGGTGGGGCCAATAAAATTTATTACTTGGAAATGGTTGAGATCCCCACCATATAACCATATATACAATTGCTGAGTATAAAGAGAAGAATGCACATTTGCTTCCAGGATGTCCCTAGGGTCTGGCCCCACCCTTGGAGACATAGTCCCTGGGCCATAACTTTAAAACGGTTGAGATCCCCACCCCAAAACTATATATACAAATGCTGGGCATAAAGAGACGAATGCAATCATGACATCAGAATAGACCCTGGGGTCTGACTGACCCCCTAGGGACCTAGTTTCTTAGTCACAGCTTGGAAACAGTTGAGAGGCCCACCCTATAACCGTATATATATAATTGCTGAGTATAAATAGATGATTGCACATATGCTTCCAGGTTGGCCTTGGGGACTGCCCCACCCTTGGAGACTTAACCCCTGGGTCATAATTTTTGAAATGGTTAATATCCCCACCCCAAAACTATATATACAATTGTTGGGCATAAAGAGACGATTGCAGTCATGATATTAGAATTGATCCCAGGGTCTGTCCCACCCTTGTTGACTTGGCCCCTGGGTCATAAATTTGAAACGGTTGAGATCCCCACCCCAAAACTATATATACAAATGCTTGGCAAAAAGAGACAAATGCAGTCATGACATCAGAATAGACCCTGGGGTCTGACTGAACCCCTAGGGACCTAGCTTCTTAGTCAAAGCTTGGAAACAGTTGTGATCCCCACCTCATAACCATACATAAAATTGCTGGGCATGAAAAATCTAATATAGCTTCGCTACAAGGATTGGCCTTGGGGTCTGGCATATTCCCTTGATCTCATTTGGAGAATAGTTTGCCATGATTGCTTAGGTATCCAGGTGAGCGATACAGGCCCTCTGAGCCTCTTGTTTTAAAAGTACTATTTTTATACAGGTAAAAGTGGAACTAATGGCTGTGTGACCTAGATTAGTGAATGATAAAGATGGACAGGGGATAACATGGACTGGCATATATACATATATTGGCAGTTGATCTGCATATAGTACTAGAAATTACTATACACTAGGAAATATTATCACACTTCAACTTTTGCCTTGTTTTCCCACCTTAATGAGGGTGAATTTATCATTCGAGTGATTATTAGAATACATTATATGATAAGTACACATGGAGGGTGAACTTAATAAAGATTTTCATAGTAAGAAATGAATATTTGACAAAGTGGAACTTTCCCAGTGACAGAAACATGATATATTGTTTTGTTTCTGCAAAATTTGAATTGAAACTAATATTTAATACATATAAAATGTTGTATCAATACATGGTTAAAACAAGTTGTAAATAATTTACACTAACATTTATATTTGAATTTGTTTAATGAGATGATCTGTCAAAAGTTGATTTGATGGGCAATCAGTCCACATCCTTCCACTGTAGCATACATTTTAGTATATTGTTAATAAAACAGAATGTGTTTATGTTATTTGAGGACACATTTGGTTGGTTGTTGTAGGAAGTCCTGTTGGGTGTGTTTTGCTACAGAGGAGGATGACAGGGATGCCACCTGGGTCCAGCCTTGTCGTTGTCGAGGAACAACGAAATGGGTCCATCAGAACTGTCTACAGCGATGGATAGACGAGAAACAGAAAGGCAACAGCACCGCCAAGGTGGCTTGTCCACAATGCAACACAGAATATGTCATTATATTCCCTAAAGTGGGTAAGGACTGTTATATAATTTATGAATCTTTGTTTATTAGTAATACAAGTTCCAAATCTTGGTTGGGGATCAAGATAGCGTATACCTAAAAGTAATCACCAGTCTTACTGTAGTCATCAGTAAACAAAAAAATAAAAAATGAAGACAACATTGTCTGGATTGCATCAGTATATGTTTACTTATTTACACAATACATACTCCTTTATTTACATCTGCTCTGCACCCATTTTGTGAACATTACCAGGTGAAATGCATTTCATTATACAATGAACACATAGAAATCATTGTTCTGTTTAGGTCACCTGAGCTTTGTAACATTTTACATTTTCAACTTAAGCTGAAATACTGACCAAGGGATTTCATTAATATTTCATGGGAAGGTTACTGACATCTCCCTGACCAAGTGTTGTTATTTTTAGGGTTGATCAGAAATCCAATATGGCCGCCACGGCCGCCATTTTGAAAAACTATTTCAAACTTAAAGTCAAGTTCTGCTGGGTCGATTGTACTGAAACCTGGTAGGAATGATCGACTCATGGTCCTGACAAAGTTTTGTTAATTTTCAGGTCGATCAGAAACACAATTTGGCTGCTATGGCCGTTATTTTGAAAATACCTATTTCAAAGTTCTAATAGGCCAATCTAACTGAAAATCGGTCTAGGAATTATCAGCTCATGGTCCTGACAAACTTAACGTTAACGTTATACTTAACAATTTTTTACTCAAATTGGTACATATTTCAACAACAAAAATAAATACTGTAGGACTCGGGTGACCGTTAAGGCCCATGGGCCTCTTGTTTATGCTAATTTCGCATCTCATAACATCATCGTGAGAAGTAAACATTTTGGTGATATTCCCAGAATATTGTGTGTGCTGATGATACAGACACAATTCGGATTACCAATACCGGGTAGCTATAAATTGAAATGTAAATATCCATATTGAACAGAGTATTTAACATTCATGCTGATATGAATGCAAATGTGTATTGAATAATTTGAAAAAAAAATATTAAAAAAAATGTGGATCATTATGAATTTCCAAGAGGAATATTTCATCTCGCTTTCAGATGTAGAGAATGCAATTTTTTTCATTCAATATATAAAATTTCTTGCAAAACTTTTAACTGGGAAATCATTTAAATGCTATTGCAAAATCCTGTTACTGTCAGATAGTGATGGGCCGATAGTTGAAAATAATAAGAAAAAATAGTTGAAAAATAAAATATACTAATTAATCAATGCCAAGATTGAAAATATAACTAATCGGTAGAGTTCAGGAATGCAACTTCCTTTTTAAAAAAACAAACCCTAATCAATCAATGCCAAGATTGAAAATGCAACTAATCAGTAAAGTTCAGCAATGACACAGCTTCATTTTTCATCTAAAAAAAATGGGATTTTTTTATGCTTTCTGAAATCTTGTACTGGCAGTACTTCAGAGAGGAAGCAGCCATTTTGCCATCTGCTTCCAGAGAGTTGAAAGCTCTCACCACATGCAAGAAGGTTGTTCAAACTTCCCTTTTCACATCTGATTTCTACTGATTTTAGAGAAACCATGAAATATGATCCTGAGGAAATTTGAACCACACAAAGTATAGACCACACAAATATATGTAAACAAAGTTCCTTTTAAGGCATTTAGGATTTTAACAAACATAGGTAAGTAACCATACCTGCTAACCCCTGAATCTCCCAATGGGAGTCATGACCCCCATTTGAAAATTCTGTGGGGGGTATTATAACGCGTGACAAAAAAAATCACAAATTTTCGCGCCATCACGGCACAACATATGTCGTCTTCTGGTATGATTTAGGACTTTAAAAAAAAAAAATGCAACAAATCTTTCCACACTTTTTGTTTTATTACATTCTCTCTTTTCAAAATACTAATTTCCCTGTACATACAGGTGGTTTCAGTTAATTGTAGAAAACTTTGCATCTTTCATCATTAATGCATACTGGAAGCATGAACTCATCTAGAAGCTCCTCTATCTATTTCTCCCTCTCATCTTTATGTACTACTTTGGGAATCTGACTGCCTGCATGTTGGAAACTGGAAAAAATAATTCAAAAATAAAATATGCATTTATGTTAAATGCAGGTATTCATAATATTGGTATTATATCTTGGTACACTCAAATTTGTATGACTGCAACAAATTTTAAAGCAATCTTGCGATCAATGTCAGGAAGCATTTTCTATGCATTTTGTCTTACCTCTTTGAGAAAGTTTCTTACTGACCAGATTAGTAATGTGTAAATATTCGATTTCGAAAATATTGATTCCACAAAAATAAGTTTTATTATATGATTGATGAACAACCTTAAAACTGTGTAAAAGTTGCTTATAAAAGAAGAAAACTTAATGTATAGTAAACAACTTTGATTTTTGTATTTTGGTATTCAGTCCCATAGAATTACAAACAGTTGATCATCTATTTGTGTACTACTTCCTATAAAAAACAGATCATCAATAATGATTTTAAACAAATTGCCCATCACTAGATGAAACCTGTCCCAAAATTTTCGTATTTCTTTATCAGAGCCTCACAAAAAATGGAACATGATTCTAGACTCATTTCATAAATCTCATATGAAATGGAAATTCATTTTTGGTTCGACAAGCCCCCAAAATGATGGTGCGTTCACTCTAAAATTCAACCTTCTGATCAGTCAAATGTCAAGACTACAATTCAACATCAGAGTTCAGATACGTTATTTGGATAAATTGAATTTGAAAAAAGTTCACATGCATTATTACAGGTCAATCTCTTTCGCAACCCAACTGAATGCTACAAAAAGACATATTACTGGGTATCTAAAGTTATTTTTATATCTAGGATATTAAGAGCTAAATTTATAGGTGTCCATGAGACACTGCTAAAATCCTAGCATAGTTCCCTCGTGATACAATATACTGTATTCTACCACAATATGCTGTGTTATTTCACTCTCAGATCATTGTATAAACACGCAGACTGTTAGATAAATATGAGTTATATACCACACGTAGTATATGACCTTCAAGAGTTTTAATTGGTCGAGAAGATGAACTTTGACTGGGAAGACTTTTTCCACATGCTTTTTGCCACCTGCTGTTTTGTTTACGTCGTCGGCTGTCAACATCCGACAAATGTTGGTGACTTTGTGAGGTTATGCGGAAAGGGGGGTTATTAAGGCAATATTAAAAGATGATACTTAAAGATTTGACCACTAGTTTCAGGCAAAATTGCTACTGACGCTCGATATCGTTTCGACGTCACACCGTCGAGTGTCCAGGTCGTGAAACCAAAACAAGATCTGTCACAGTGTCGGGAAATATTTCGTTCTCCCAACGTCCCGTTATCGCTATTTAGACGGTCTGACTATGGCTGAACTTTCATTATAAACATTAACCATAGAACTGTCACGAAGAAACGTAGGCCTATGGTTTTGGATATTGACAGCGATAAGTTCGTCTAGGCCTACAACGGTTCATCACTTGGCGGGAGGCATACTTAGTACGATATGCTTATGCGCATATAGTCCGTGGTTAATTTATATAAATTAATGCAATACTGCTACTCTCAATATTTAAAGTCATTTATCTATTTTATTTTTTCACTAAGTTGTTGCCGAAACATTAATTCTGACAATAATTAAATTTGTAAAAAAAAAAATCATTTTTGAATATTAATAAGTGACTTTTTACATATGGGTCATATCACTATGCCAGCCTTGTTAACAAACACATGTGTGTATATGTTCATGAGATTGTGGTAGAAACAGATCACACGACTTGTGGTTGTGGAGTATGGTATTTATTTCACTCTCGTTAGTTAATTTTCAAAAGTTACAGAAAGACACTCGCTAAAGCTCGTCTCTTTTGGAACTTTTGAGAATTAACTAACTTCAGTGAAATAAACACCATATTCAACAACCACTCGTTGTGTAACCTCTATTTAGCAGACTTTTAATAAGAAAATTAAAGCTTAGTGACCTAGATTGATACATGAATTTCAAATTATGAGTTATGTTTTAAGTTTCTGTGGTGTTAAAGATGAGCTTGACATAGACATTGTAAATGGAAAATGCTGTAACATTTTTATAATGGCACCAAGTGTTACAGAACGTTCATGTTAAGTTCATATACTCCTCGTGGTCACAAAGCCCTTGGGTTTACATTTATTTATCATGAAAATATGTAACCACTTAACAAAATGTCTTGGTTTGAAGCCAATATGCCTTTCCCCACTGTTAGTAAAAGACAACTAAGCTCTGCATGGCCTAGGTTACTGTTTAAATTACTTAAGAACAGTAGATACAAATTACATAATTTCATGTATGTGTGTATGTGAAATGAAGTAGAAAAGTAGAAGTTTTGATTAGAAGAATTTCCATTCTTGATAAAGAACAGAAATAATTGTTACTTTAGATTCTTCATATTATTTGAAAATAAGAATTAAGATATTTGTTTAGGTATAATGGAGTCATACTTATCTATAGCATAGTATTAAATGGTATAAGTTTAAAAATGTCTGATGGTATAAAATACAAAATTTGTTATGGTTCTTGTTTTGGCAAGGAGTAGACTGACCTTTATGTTAGCTGATAGACTTCTATTTGTTGCTCACAAAAACTATTGTTCTTGGTTTACATGTATACCACTTCAGTATATATATACTGGGGTTTGTTCTTTCTTGTATCATGCATTTTTAAGGTTAAAGTTGTGAATTCTTGTTACAGGTCCGATGGTTTACATCATGGATGTTGCTGACAAAGTAATCTACAAAATGTGTCCTTTTGTTGCTGGCGGTATTTTCATTGGGTCAGTTTACTGGACGGCAGTGACGTATGGTGCTGTGACTGTGATGCAGGTAGGTTTTGAGCTTTTAAACATTTCTGCGTGTCTTGTTTCGCGACAATACCATATTTTCTGTTTGATAAGCTTTGGAGGTGTTATCCTCTTTAAAATGAAATGTTCGGGATCTGGCGGTTGGATTGGTGGGGGTGTTAAATGTCGACATGGTTTCAGGGATGTTCAGTCATATATCGATATTTCCTTCCTCTTAAACTGGAAAAAATGACATTTTTCAGTGTATCAGAGAGGTAACGTTATACAGCGATAGTGCATAATTTCATTGACTACAGTGCCTTCAGTTTGATTCCTGCAGGTAGCCTGATTTGGTTTGCACATCCCCCATTGACTAGAATGGAGTGTAATATGGTTTCGGTTGAGTATTGCTGTTTCTGTTTTGAAGTATTAAAATGATTTGTCATCACATAAAAAAGAGCTGTTGGAAATATAGACCCATAAGAAGTAAAACACCTATACAACCTTCTGCACACACATGGATCCCTTAGATATTAAGTATATTAAAACCCACAAATAAAAGAACACATTAATAGTTATTTAACAGTAAAATGGACACATAATTGACAGTAGAACACCGGAATAGTCAATGGGTAGTAGAACACAGAAACATTCAATGGACAGTAGAACACCAGTGAATGGACAGCGGGATACGAGAACAGTAAATGGACAGTAGAACACAGGAAAAGTCAATGGACAGTAGAACACAGAAACATTCAATGGACAGTAGAACCCCAGTCAATGGACTATAGAACACAGGAACAGTCAATGGACAGTAGAACACAGGGCCAGTCAATGGACAGTAGAACACGGGGCCAGTCAATGGACAGTAGAACACAGGGCCAGTCAATGGACAGTAGAACACAGGAACAGTCAATGGACAGTAGAACACAGGGCCAGTCAATGGACAGTATTAATCAGGAACAGTCAATGGACAGTAGAACACTGGGGCCAGTCAATGGACAGTAGAACACAGGGCCAAACAATGGACAGTATTAATCAGGAACAGTCAATGGACAGTAGAACACGGTGCCAGTCAATGGACAGTAGAATACAGGGCCAGTCAATGGACAGTATTAATCAGGAACACAGGGCCAGTCAATGGACAGTATTAATCAGGAACAGACAATGGACAGTAGAACACTGGGGCCAGTCAATGGACAGTAGAACACAGGGCCAAACAATGGACAGTAGAAGACAGGAGCAGTCACTGAACAGTATTAATCAGGAACAGTCAATGGACAGTAGAACACGGGGCCAGTCAGTGGACAGTATTAAACAGGAACAATCAATGGACAGTAGAACACGGGGCCAGTCAATGGACAGTAGAACACAGGGCCAAACAATGGACAGTAGAACACAGGGCCAGTCAATGGACAGTAGAACACGGGTCAAGTCAATGGACAGTATTAAACAGGAACAATCAATGGACAGTAGAACACGGGGCCTGTCAATGGACAGTATTAAACAGGAACAATCAATGGACAGTAGAACACGGGGCCTGTCAATGGACAGTATTAAACAGGAACAGGCAATGGACAGTAGAACACGGGGCCAGTCCATGGACAGTATTAAACAGGAACAGTCAATGGACAGTAGAACACGGTGCCAGTCAATGGACAGTAGAATACCAGTCAATGGACAGCGGGATACAAGAACAGTAAATGGACAGTAGAACACAGGAAAAGTCAATGGACAGTAGAACACAGAAACATTCAATGGACAGTAGAACCCCAGTCAATGGACTATAGAACACAGGAACAGTCAATGGACAGTAGAACACGGTGCCAGTCAATGGACAGTAGAATACGAGAACAGTCAATCGACAATAGAACACAGGAACAGTCAATATACAATAGAACTATGAAGTCAGTAGAAAGCTTGTGAAAACTGTATAAGTGACACAAATACAAATTATACTTTTGATCTTGTGTGCAATGTTAACTCTGTATTGACTACAGTGGTTTTTGCATGGTTTAGTGTTGGGAACACATTACAAGTGAGAACGGAAAGTAAACAATGGTGGTGGACGTATTATAGAAGACAGAGAAAGACGAAGTTCTAAAGACTGCAGTATTTGTTCAACATTTTTGTTGCTGAAGATAATTTGCCTTCTTTCACATCTTTCATTGATTCTAACAGTGACAAGAAGTTCATGTGTAAATGAACAAAAAATATCTTCTGTACTTTGAACAGATCGAAGTTTAATGTCTGCTACTGGTTTGAGAACAAACCTCCATCTGAAACTGTAAAGGCAGCACAATCAGTTCTGTGTTATATATGTACCTCAATTTGGTGATACATTCTGTATTTATTTTGTGACATTTGTGCTGTTGAATCTTCAATATAAAACACTCTTGTCAAAGTCAAAATAAAGTTCCTTATAAGAGCCCTGCATCAATGGCAATCACAGTGTCCACTGGTCTATCCCTACACTTTTGTTTCTGGAGACTACCTCAGAAGCCAAAAGACCAAAATTACTGAAATTTTACAGGATGAAGAACTTTTATATTTAGATGTACAACAGGGGTTTAAAAAGTACTTCAAATCAAGGTCACTGTTGATGAATATAGATGATATACCCTCAACTTCATTGCATTGATTTTTGGCCCAACAAGTGTTCATTTTGCTGGTAATAATGTTTGAAAGTTTCCCTATTGCTTCTGATTGGTGGAGACAAACATGGCAATAGCTTTTGTTCTGTTGATAAAGACTATGTTCAAACTTGGTGGTAAATGGTACTAAGTGGAAAGTCTACTTGATAAATAAGACTATATTATCCCCATCCCATAAATACGATGGCCGCCATGGCTTCTGGTTAGCAGAGACCTTTTCGCTTATGACTATTTTTGTTGATCAGATATTTTTCATACATTTGGTGTAACTTGTATTTGTCTGAGTTTCATATGTGTGTAATTTTTCATTACAAATATGTCATAATCTAAAATAATTAGTGGCTTCTGCTTGGTTGCCGTGGGCACTGTTCAAGACAGACACGGTGCTGTATGTATCAGCCATGATGTGACAGTCAGACCTAGGTCTGTATGTATCAGCCATGATGTGACAGTCAGACCTAGTTGTGTATGTATCAGCCATGATGTGACAGTTAGACCCAGTTCTGTATGTATCAGCCATGTCGTGACAGTCAGACCTAGTTGTGTATGTATCAGCCATGTTGTGACAGTCAGATCTAGGTGTGTATGTATCAGCCATGTCGTGACAGTCAGACCTGGTTGTGTTTGTATCAGCCATGTCGTGACAGTCGGACCTAGTTGTGTATGTATCAGCCATGATGTGACAGTCAGACCTAGTTCTGTATGTATCAGCCAACATGTGACAGTCAGACCTTGTTGTGTATGTATCAGCCATGATGTTACAGTCAGACCTAGTCCTGTATGTATCAGCCATGTCGTGACAGCCAGACCTAGTTGTGTACGTATCAGCCATGATGTTACAGTCAGACCTAGTCCTGTATGTATCAGCCATGTCGTGCCAGTCAGACCTAGTTGTGTATGTATTAGGCATGATGTGACAGTCAGACCTAGTTCTGTATGTATCATCCATGATGTGACAGTCAGCCCTAGTTGTGTATCTATCAGCCATGTCGTGACAGTTACACCTAGTTGTGTATGTATCAGCCATGTCGTGCCAGTCAGACCTAGTTGTGTATGTATTAGGCATGATGTGACAGTCAGACCTAGTTCTGTATGTATCAGCCATGTTGTGACAGTCAGATCTAGGTGTGTATGTATCAGCCATGTCGTGACAGCTAGACCTAGTTGTGTACGTATCAGCCATCATGTTACAGTCAGACCTAGTCCTGTATGTATCAGCCATGTCGTGACAGTCAGACCTTGATGCTATATTGCCATGTCATGACAGTCAGTCCTAGTTGTGTATGTATCAGCCATGTCTTGACAGTCAGACCTAGTTGTGTATGTACCAGCCATGATGTGACAGTCAGACCTAGTTCTGTATGTATCATCCATGATGTGACAGTCAGCCCTAGTTGTGTATCTATCAGCCATGTCGTGACAGTCAGACCTAGTTGTGTATGTCTTAGCCATGATGTGACAGTCAGACCTAGTTGTGTATCTATCAGCCATGTCGTGACAGTTAGACCTAGTTGTGTATGTATCAGCCATGATGTGACAGTTAGACCTAGTTGTGTATGTATTAGCCATGTCGTGACAGTCATACCTAGTTGTGTATGTATTAGCCATGATGTGACAGTCAGACCTAGTTGTGTATCTATCAGCCATGTCGTGACAGTTAGACCTAGTTGTGTATGTATTAGCCATGATGTGACAGTCAGACCTAGTTGTGAATGTATCAGCCATGATGTGACAGACAGACCTAGTTGTGTATGTATCAGCGATGATGTTACAGTTAGACCTAGTTCTGTATGTATCAGCTATGATGTGGCAGTCAGACATAGTTGTGTATGTATCAGCCATGACGTGACAGCCAGACCTAGTTCTGTATGTATCAGACATGATGTGACAGTCAGACCAAGTTCTGTATGTATCAGCCATGACGTGACAGCCAGACCTAGTTCTGTATGTATCAGCTATGATGTGGCAGTCAGACATAGTTGTGTATGTATCAGCCATAATGTGACAGTCAGACCTAGTTGTGAATGTATCAGCCATGATGTGACAGTCACACCTAGTTGTGTATGTATCAGCCATGATGTGACAGTCAGACCTACCTCTGTATGTATCAGCCATGATGTGACAGTCAGACCTAGTTCTGTATGTATCAGCCATGATGTGACAGTCAGACCAAGTTCTGTATGTATCAGCCATGATGTTACAGTCAGACCTACCTCTGTATGTATCAGCCATGTCGTGACAGTCAGACCTAGTTGTGTATGTATCAGCCATGTCATGACAGTCAGACCGTTGTGTTTGTATCAGCCATGATGTGACAGTCAGGCCTAGTTGGGAATGTATCAGCCATGTTGTGACAGTCAGAACTAGTTGTGTATGTGTCAGCCATGTT